AAAATGTCAGGCCAACACATGATGACAGATTTCTATGCACATAAGGATATGTGCACGCTTCTATCATAAGAATAGCTTGAGGCACACAAAAGCCAATATGACAAGCACTGACATTTAAACTTTGAATAGACATTATAGATTTTTAAACAGAGGAGCAAAGATTTTCTCTAGCTGGTGACTACCATACACTCTACTGTATGTCCTCAGGTTACTAAAACTCCTAGCTTCACTGTAACAGGGAGCGCTGGACCATTTGCTTCCTTGTATCCTTCAGACAAGTGATCTGATCAGATTCAGCACCAAGCCACTTTATTTACACTAGTACAGCTCCAATGGTTTAAAATGTGTTATTCCTCTTACTTATTCTAGTGTAATTAGAAGTCACCCTGCAGAAGCCAATGGAGTTGTACAGGTATAAAACCACTAAGTGATAGGAGAAGCAAGGCCATGGATTACACACAGGTTGCTTGTGAAGAAACCTGGAGCCCATGTTAATGTTACTTCCACTACCCTACCTCCCTTGAAGGCTCTGGGCACTTGAGTGAGTCAACTTTTCTAGGGGAAGGGGACACACTGGCCCATGAGAATGCAATGATATCTTGAAACCACCTTTGTATCCCATCAGCTGGGATGAGTGGAGATCTGGCATAGCCAAGGATTTGGCCCATGGATTTAGTCAGACATTGGGTTGGAATATTCAGCTAGTCATTACTGGAAAAAATTCATATGCATAAATTTAGGCAGCTTCATTGTTGTATATTATAGGCAGAGCTGGTCGTACTGCCTGTGATTAAGGTTGCATGACACTTCCCATTATAAGACTGTTTTCAGTTGCTTATAACTTGCTAGACTTTTACTATTCAGGCTGAAATTTGCCATGCTGGGCAAAGACTGACTGGGTAAGAATCAGAGAGGATAGTGACTTGTGGGGCAAGGAACCTGGGAAAAAGAACCTTTGGAGGAGATAGGACTAGGAGTGGCAGGGGGAAGACAGAATTAATCAGAAGGATGAGGGTGGGGAAAAGAGACTGGGTAGCAAGGAAACTGGGATTGGGCCAAGGAGCCAGCAAGGAAGGAAGGGTAGGGGAAACTGGGATGAGAAGCCAAAGTAGGGAAGACACAGGACTGGCTCAGGGACAGGCTGGTAGGGACAGAGCCGAAGGAGTCAAACTTGGGGGAAGCAGGGGCATAAGGGCCTTTGGCCGTTTGTGCTTACTCCCCTCCAAAATCTGTAATAGAACCCAAGATTCCTGAGTCTCCCCATTCCTGTGTTGACAGCAAATCTCTGTGCTCTGGCAGAGTGTTTCATATCCCTCTACACCTGGTACACAAATGCTGACAACCTACTAATATCTGCTACACCATTAGATCAAGTGGTAGCATCCTGTTCTGCAAGATCTACAGGCTCCAGTCCTGCTGACAGGCCATGTGGATGTCAATAGGAGACCACAGGACAGAATTTTCAGGTTGCTTTTTTTAAAAAGCAAGGAAATTACACAAGATTATTAAAATAACATTATGAAGGTTGCAAATGCATTCAAGTTAGGAAATACCAGAACCAAGTTTGTCTTAATTCTGTTTTGCCCCCCAACTCCCATGCATATGCATTTATGATACAATCTTTAATTACAAGATAACATACTATTTTCCCCCACAGGCAACCTTAATTCCAGCACTTCCCAATTTGGGTTCTTGACTTTGCAAGCATAATGGTCTTTTAACATATATTTCTTGCTCTCTCCCCTTCTCAAATAAAAGAAATCAGAATTGAGGAACACTGCCACAGAGGCTCAGAATTAGACACATCAAGGGTTTATTAAAAACTAGTTATGTGATGATTTGGTTCAGGCAGTGAGTCTCAAATATTTTCCAACCTTCCATTGGGGATGCATCTTCAGGAAGTAATTATCAGCTGTGAATTAGGGAAAGTTTGACAGTTAAGGGTAGTCATGTTAAAGTCAGGTTTCAGAGTAGCAGCCATGTTAGTCTGTATTCGCAAAAAGAAAAGGAGTACTTGTGGCACCTTAGATACGAACAAATTTATTTGAGCATAAGCTTTCATGAGCTACAGCTCACTTCATCGAAAGCTTATGCTCAAATAAATGTGTTCGTCTCTAAGGTGCCACAAGTACTCCTTTTCTTCATGTTAAAGTGTTATTTTGAAAATATTTTTGGTTAAGTGCTAACACTCATTTTAAAGTGTCATTTAACAGCTATGATGCATTTCATGCGGGAGGTGAGCATACAGCAACAGAGGTGCTACTCCTTCAGCATGACACATTCTTTTTATGCAGTGGAATGGGGATTGTGATAAGGGTTCTGTGTCAGTACCCTGGGTGGCATGAGTCATAAAATAAATGTGTTATTCCCCTGGGTGGTAATCCCAGCTGGATTGCAAGTTTAATTATTGCCAGTGCACTCACAGGTATTTGTCTACATCATATCAAAATAAATTACATTTTTCTCTTCTCTATGAAGACAGACACTGTTTAGCGGCACTAACTTTGACTGGTGTTAGATTCCTGTAAACTAGCCTGGGCCCTCTCTACCTACCTAGGTGCTTCTGTGGCCCTCACCACCAGAGTGGCTGAGTGCTTGGCAGACAATTCATTATGAGCATAGCTACAGGAGCAATTATAGAATTTAGACAGGAAAAGTATGAATAAGTTAGGGCATGATCCTGCTCCATTGAAGTCAGTAATTTCAGTGTGGGCAGGACTGGGTCTTCAGAGGACTTAAAAATTATATATTGCTCCCCAGGAAGGCCATCCTCACTCCACCCCTTGTCATTCACTCTTCCCCAATCACTTTCACAGGGCTGGAGCAGTGGTGCGGGCTCTGGGCTGAGCCTGGGGCAGGGGCTTGGGGTGAGAGGGTGTGTGGGGTGCAAGCTTTGGGAGGGAGTTTGGGTGCGGGAAGGGGCTTCAGGCTGGGGTAGGAGGTTGGACATGCAGGAGGGGGCTTAGGGCTAGGGTAGGGGTGCAGGAGGGGGTGATGGGTACAGGCTCCAGCCAGGAGGCGCTTACCTCAGGCAGCTCCTGATCAGCAGTATAGCAGGGCTAAGGCAGGCTCCCTGCCTGCCCTGGCCCTACACTGCTCCCAGAAGCAGCTGGCACATCTGTGGCCCCCAGGGGCAGAGGACTTTGCATGCGGCCCATACCTGCAAGCACCACCTCTGTAGCTCCCATTGGCCAGTTCCCAGCCAATGGGAACTGTTGAGTCAGAATTCAGGGAAGCGGCAGTGCACAGAGCATCCCTGCCACAGGGACATGCCAGCCACTTTTGGGAGCCTGCCTTAGCAGTCCTCTGAAGACCCAGTCCTGCCAGATTTTCAGCACTTAAAATCTCCCAGTTTGGCTTCAGTAGCCTCCAGGAGATAGGGCCTGATTCCAGGAGACGCCCAGCAAAGCCAGGAAGGTTGGCAACCCTAATTGCATACCTTCTCTCCATTTCCCACACTCTCCAGGAGCTGCTGCTGCATCTTTGACTCAGTCCTCCAGACAGGTCACTAGCCACACTTTCCCCTTCCAGGGTATCAGTCTTCCTTCAGCAGCCCTAGGCAGTCTTCCCTCAGTGCCACTACCTCAGTGCCACTTCTACAGGGGCTGGTAGGGAAACCCAGGCCCACCCTCTACTATGGGTTCCAGCTTAGGGACCCTCTAGTCAGCAGCAAAGCTCTGGTCCCTTCCAGACCTTACCACCTTTACCTGACCCCTTTCCTTGCCCCCCAGCACTCCCTCTCTAGGATTGCCAACCTCTGTACTCCCTCCTACACAAGGGAAACTCTAGGCTACCTGTCTCTGCAGTCTGTCTCACCATACTCCCAAGGAGTGACTGCTGCCTTTCCCAGCAGACCCCTCTGCTGGGAATTTCCTGTCTTTATAGTCATTCTCCAGCTCATTCCTCCTCAGCTGGGCTCCCTCATTCAGTCAGTCACATGATTCCCCTCAGCTGAGGCCTGTGAGGTTAATTAGCACCCATCTCCATCCACATTAACCCTTTTTTGAGCAAGTGTGGGGTAAATGCCCCATCACAAGGTGTGAAGGGGCAAAGAGCCTTTCTTCCCTCCCATTTCTATCCCCTGTACCTCACACAAGGGCTAGGGCTAATCACCATGCTTGTGTTGGCACAATGCCTCCCTTGCCTCCACACCATCCCTTATGCTGGGGCAATATGACTGTCTTAATATTTGCACAAGTTAAGCTGAATGTTTACTTCTCATAATAACCATGTAATTACACATATCAGTGACAATTCTACTTCGCTTTTTCCTGCACATGTGAACTGCTATTAAAGCTAGTTAATGTTTGTGATTAGTGCTAGTTAAGGTTCATAGAGCACTTTGATCATGTAAAGCTCTCTAAGTGTTTAAAATGAATAGTTCTCTTATATTATATTAAACGGAGTCAAAAATTGCTTTATTTCTATTTTCTCATCCTCAAAAGTGTCCATCATTTTTATGGGCTCAGGCAGACACCAGGACTGGAATACGTCAGTATAAAAACAGAAAATTTTGGGAAGTTATGAGCAACCAAAAGAGGCAGGATCTAGAATGGAAACACTTATGCACCACTAGCTGCAGCCGTCTCTTTTACTCCCGGTATTATTGGAATTCTTCATTATTATATAAGTAATTCCATTTAGAGCTGGGTTAATAACAGATTTTTTTTCAGTTCACTGGCAATTCCAAAAAAACTGGAAAAAATGGTTTGGGATCAAACCAAAACCATTTTTTTAAAATGTTCAGCAAATAGAAAAGTCGGGGGGAAATGGGCTATACAAAATATTTTGTTCAACCCAAAATGAAACATTTTATTTTGGTTCCAAGCATTTTTAACCATAATTTTATTTTTAAAAGTTTAAATAAAGTAAACTTCTAAATGAAAACTTTCAAACTGAAAAATTGCAAATTTCATTTTGAAAATGTCAAAACAAAACATTTAGATTTTTGGGGTGTTTCTTTTCCAGTTTTCTTTTTCCTTCTTTTTTGTTTTGGGTCTGAAACAATTTGGCAAAATCAACACAGATTCATGAAATGTTTCACTGTTGCTGAATCTGCATTTTTGGCTGAAAAACAGTTTGGTCAAATTTTTTTGCCCAGATCTAATTTCATTATAGTATTATGAAACAATGACAGTTGTGCCATAGTTAAGATTGTAGCTGAGTTTTATTATAAGTCTTACCACCTTCCACAAATTCAACCAAAAAAGTCATCTCAGGGCTTATCTACACTAAACAGTTAGGTCGACATAAGTCAGTGCCTACACTACAAACCTTCCTCCCACCGGTGTAAGTGCCCTACTACAGCGACATAACTCCACCTCCCACCGATGTAAGTGCCCTGCTACAGCGACATAACTCCACCTCCCACCGATGTAAGTGCCCTGCTACAGCGACATAACTCCACCTCCCACCGATGTAAGTGCCCTGCTACAGCGACATAACTCCACCTCCCACCGATGTAAGTGCCCTGCTACAGCGACATAACTCCACCTCCCACCGATGTAAGTGCCCTGCTACAGCGACATAACTCCACCTCCCACCGATGTAGTGCCTGCTACAGCGACATAACTCCATCTCCCCACCGATGTAAGTGCCCTGCTACAGCGACATAACTCCACCTCCCACCGATGTAAGTGCCCCGCTACAGCGACATAACTCCACCTCCCACCGATGTAAGTGCCCTCCTACAGCGACATAACTCCACCTCCCACCGATGTAAGTGCCCTGCTACAGCGACATAACTCCACCTCCCACCGATGTAAGTGCCCTGCTACAGCGACATAACTCCACCTCCCACCGATGTAAGTGCCCTGCTACAGCGACAAACTCCACCTCCCACCGATTGCCCTCCTCGGCTACTCCACCTCCCACCGATGTAAGGCCCTGCTACAGGCTAACTCCACCTCCCCTCCACACTCCCCCTCCCACCGATGTAAGGCCCTGCTACAGCGACAAAACACCCCCCCCCCCCGAGGTAAGTGCCCTGCTACGCGACATAACTCCACCTCCCACCGATGTAAGTGCCCTGCTACAGTGACATAACTCCACCTCCCACCGATGTAAGTGCCCTCCTACAGTGACATAACTCCACCTCCCACCGATGTAAGTGCCCTGCCTACAGCGACATAACTCCACCTCCCACCGATGTAAGTGCCCTGCTACAGCGACATAACTCCACCTCCCACCGATGTAAGTGCCCTGCTACAGCGACATAACTCCACCTCCCACCGATGTAAGTGCCCCGCTACAGTGACATAACTCCACCTTCCACCGATGTAAGTGCCCCGCTACAGTGACATAACTCCATCTCTCACCGATGTAAGTGCCCCGCTACAGTGACATAACTCCATCTCCCACCGATGTAAGTGCCCCGCTACAGTGACATAACTCCATCTCCCACCGATGTAAGTGCCCCGCTACAGTGACATAACTCCACCTCCCACCGATGTAAGTGCCCCGCTACAGCGACATAACTCCACCTCCCACCGATGTAAGTGCCCCGCTACAGCGACATAACTCCACCTCCCACCGATGTAAGTGCCCCGCTACAGCACACCCCCCCCCCCCCCCGGGGGGGTGGCCGCTCAGCGCATACTCCACCTCCCCACCGATGTAAGTGCCCCGCTACAGCGACATAACTCCACCTCCCACCGATGTAAGTGCCCCGCTACAGCGACATAACTCCACCTCCCACCGATGTAAGTGCCCCGCTACAGCGACATAACTCCACCTCCCACCGATGTAAGTGCCCTACGACAGCGACATAACTCCACCTCCACCAGCATAAGACTTATGTCAGTGTCGTCAGGGTGATGCAGTGCCTGTATAGACACCGAGTCCCCTGCACGGGCTGTGGGCTTCATCTATCAATGAAAACAGCTTTCTTGGTGACCATCACTTTTGCCCAGAGGGTTGGAAAACTGGGGCCTTTAATGGTAGACACTCCCCTCCCCCTGCTCATTTACAATATTCTTCAAAGAAAAGATCTCATTATGACCACATCTTAAAGTTTTTAGCTAAAGCGACTTCTGAATTTCATATTAACCATGCAGTTCATCTCCCAACTTTTTTCCTGAAACCACATCACACTAAGCACGAAGTTGCCTTCCATTCCCTGGATGTCAGAATGGCATTAGCCTTGTATTTGACCAGAACCAAACCATTAAGAAAGTAGATTGTTTGTTTCAATTGCAGACAGATTCAAAGGATCCACAGTCTCCACCCAGAGGCTTTCACCATGGATCTCTGGGTGTAGCATTTCATGTTATGTCTCTGCCAACATTCAACCTCCTTCTGGAGTATTAAGCCATTCTACAAGGTCTCAATCAACCTCCATGGCATTATTCAACAGTGTTCCAGTTGTTAACTTCTAGAGCTGCAACCTGGACTTCAGTACACACTTTCTCCAACTGCTATGTTGTGGTTCTTGCCTCTGGATCAGATGCTGCGGCTGGGTATGCAGTTCTGTCTTCAGTATTAGACTCTGCTTTGAAGCTTCCTTCTCCCTATGGGGATACTGCTCAGGAACCACCTGAAATGGAGCATCCATAGAGACACTCTTGAAGAAGGACTTATTCACCTGGTGCAGTAACTGGATTTCTTTGAGATTTGTCCCCCTACAGATGTTCCACTGTCCGCCCTTCTTCCCCTCTGCTTTGGAGTTTTCTCTGTGGGACTTTGTGGTAGGGAAGGAGCTGAGGGTGGTTCACCTGTGCCACCCTATATATCCTTCGTACGGGGCAGAAGGATGTATAGAGCACATGTGCGGGCTAAATGGTCACTGCTACCAAAAATCTCCAATCAAAGGCACTGGGGCACATGCATGCCTGAAGTAGAACTCTGATAGGGATACACATCTCAAATAACTCCAGTTACTGCACAACATGAGTAACCTTTTATTATGGAGAATTTTCTGTAAAATTTCAGGCAGATGGAAAAAGGGGTTGTTGAATGAGGATGCTCTAAAAATAGAAGTGTTTGCCAGTGTTCAAAATGTCTTCTAACTTCTTGGCATTTTTTGTAGTAAACAATGGAAAGCAGGAGAGAAATTAAACTCAGTGTACTGGACTGCCTTAACTGAGATCGAGTGCACATAACCAATGCCTAGGGTTGGAATTTGCAAAGGGCCATTGAAACTCAATTAAAGGCACGTGCTTAGCTCTCTTAGGCTGCATTAGAGACCCTGGTCTAGTTGATTAAAGTCTAATTTCAAAAGTTATTAAGGATTTTAATTGGTAACATTGCTGAGTAACAGTGGCTCTGTTAATCTTAACATCAAATGACTTCTGGAAACCTAACCTTTCAATAAAAATAATAAATAAAAGTCTATTCCTTATCCTTGCAGAGACTGAGCTGTAGGTGTAATCTAATCTTTGGAAAGGCTTGTCAATGAAAAAGAAAGAACGATCAAAATGATCATGTGAGGTGCACCAAGCACAATGTATGGGCTTGTCTACACTACCACGCGGAGTCGATCTAAGATATACAACTTCAGCTATGTGAATAGTGTAGCTGAAGTCGATGTACTTAGATCTACTTACCGCAGTGTCTTCACCATGGTAAGTCAACAGCTGACGCTCCCCCATTGACTTCGCTTGCACTCCTCGTTCTGGTGGAGTACCAGAGTTGACAGGAGAGTGCTCAGCAGTCAATTTATCGCCTCTATACTAGATAAATCGACCCCCACTGGATTGATCGCTGCCTGCCAATCTGGCAGATAGTGTAGACAAGCCCTGTGTGTGTGTGTGAAAGAGAGAAAGAGAGACCCACTGAACCTTCAAAGGCTTATTGAGCCTGACCCAAAGCCCACTGAAGTCAGTGGGAATCTTTTCATTGATTTCAAAGGGCTTTAGATCAGGCTCATTGATGAGGGCTAATGTTCACTGGAGTCTCTTCACTTGCTTTAGTACCTAGAAATATTTTGGGCAATATTTTCAGGCCTGATTCTCCCATCTGTTACACCAGTTTCCCACTGGTATATCTCCAAGGAAATCAGTGGTGTTACCAGGTATAAAATTGGTGTAACAGAAATAAGAATCAGGCCCGCTCAAAGATTTATGCTGGTTTAGCTGAGAGCAAACTGTGGCCTGCTCTCTACTGACACACAGAAGTTCCTGTCGTTAGTTAATAATTCACTTTGCAGTCAGACATTCATCAGCATAAATCCCAGAGAACAATTTTGCATGAATCCCTGATCGTTTTTACACCTTAAATACATACACGTTACTATACAAATTAACACAGGAACTAGCTTTAAAAACATTGAAACTAGTATAATTTTTGATAACAACAAAAATATTCTCATATTTTAAGGACCGCAAACCAAAATCCTTTGCTTTGCTTTCACATCACTGTCCAATATTTTTGTTACCTCTCTTCAGAGTTATCTACTTTCTGTGCTATATTCCACTCTAAGCTATATTCAGGAGCTCTAGAACAGATACAATTCTTACCATAAATCAACTTAATTCATTTACTTACAACTACAAAATTATGAATACTTATAATTTCTTATTGCAGTAACATCCAATATGTACTTGATTCCTTCCAAACACAGGGAGATGCACTCTGTACCCTGGAAAGCATACAGTCTACAAAAACCAAAGGGTGGGGGAAAGTGATATACAATATATTAGCAAAGTGATCGAGGTGATGATTGGCACATATCTTAGTTTAACATTGTGTTGTTGTTGTTTTTAAGCGAAATACATCAAATTCCCCTCTCTCTGTCTTCTCTTTACCATTCAATCTCCTTGTCTTTTCCTCACAGCAATCCCCAACTTCAGTGTTCTGGTGTCTCTCCTTCCTTCCCTACATATATATATATTAGCAGCTTGCTCACAAGCTAAGAAGATGAGTTAGGTTGATTCTTGTAAGTGTCACTTAATTAGTAACTTTGCAGGAACATTCTATAGATCATGTGGAGACGGTTGTGGAAGAAGAGGAAAACTGGATGTTGAGTCTGCTATCATTGATGGAGTGGTGAGATCAGGGACATGATAAGTAGGTGAAAGTAGAGTTATGTAGGGACTTTAATATAAACCCAAGAAGTCTGAACTTGATGTGATGGAGAAGAGCCAGTGGAGAGAGGGGGACATGGTAAGAATAGCATACAAGAAATGTGCAGTGTTGTTGTCGCTGTCTCGGTCCCAGGATATGAGACAAAAGGTGGGTGAAGTAATATCTTTTACAGGTGAGAGAGACAAGCTTTTGAGCTACACAGACCTTCCTAGCTGCATTTTGTCTTATAATTTTCAAATAGGCTTATAACATTCCAATCCAAATGCTGGCTTTCCTTTGCAGAACCTTACTTGCTTTTGTAAGCTTTGAAAAAAATGACTCTTTGGGTAGTTTAAACCCCAAATTCTGACATCCTTTTTTAAGTGAGCAAATGCTATTCATCATGAGTAAAGAATACAGGAACAGCCTCTCAATGAGGCAAAGACCTCTTCAGAGTCCTTCCTCCTTCCAGACATACAGTACTTGGAAAGAGAAAAGGAGTACTTGTGGCACCTTAGAGACTAACCAAGTTAGTTAGTTGATTAGTCTCTAAGGTGCCACAAGTACTCCTTTTCTTTTTGCGAATACAGACTGACACAGCTGTTACTCTGATACTTGGAAAGAGTGTATGGAGCTTCTTTTATTGATTGCAAACTTGCACATTGAATGCAGCAGGGTACAAATGACTTTAATATGTACCAAAATTATTTATACAAACTGCAGTCTTCTTTCCATCAGAATGTTGGGAGATGGTTATTAAAATACTGCTACTGAGTAGTTAGTGTGCATGCATGAAGTGTGACCATTAGTTTAAATAGATCCATAAAATCTCCAAATGACATAAGGATTGTGGAACTGGGCACTAAGTAAGACACATACTCAGGAGGGCGGATTTCTGTGGGGGTTGTTGGCTTAAGTAAGGGAACACTCACTCAGTGAAGTTATTCCAAATTTCTGCTGCTGAAATGAGAGCAGAATCTGGTCTCTGAAACCAGGCTAATATTGGATTGTGACAGCAGACTCAGAGCACTGATGGTTTGAAATAGGTGAAAACTATTAATATTAAGTCCTTGCACAAAACAAAAATACTTAGAAAGGGGGATATAAAAAGTCTTCACACCTTCTATACCAGATAGACAAGAGACAACCATCAGGTCATTGGAAGATGTTATGGATCCATTTAAACTAAAGGTCACTGATTTGATTTTTGTTTAGTAACAAATGTTTTCTCATCCAGAAACAGGTATTACAAAAGGCAACCTGTGCCTTTCAGGGATAGATACAGTGTATCATCCCGAGAAAGGTCAGAACATGCAGCACTTTCCTTTCTTAGAATAAACCTAGAGAAGCAATGAAGGTTTTGTTGTGTCTGTTGTTGTTGTTAAGACTGGTTACACAAAGTTATCCCTAGGCTTTGTGAAAAGCTATTTTATAATGACAAATGCATCTTTATTTCTTCTAGTTAAACCATATTTCTCTCAAGTGCAGCTAGATCTGTGAATCTATTTTGTTAAACAAGGGC